TTGGAGGAGGAAATGGCAACCCACTCCAGTGTTCTTGCCTGGAGAACCCAGGGACGGCGGAGCCTGGTGGGCTGCCGTCTATGGGGTCGCACAGAGTCGGACACGACTGAGTGACTTAGCAGCAGCAGCAGCAGCTTATATGTGGCTCCTGCCCCTTCCCCTGTGCTGGGCTCCTGACAGCCCCATCCCAGGAGTGACACAACTTTGCCTTTGCTCTTCGGCTTAGGTACCCCTAACCTTTCCTGACTGCGTCTGGTTCCCAGTTCCAGTCTTGTCAAGTGGATCTTCCTCCTGTGATGGGATCATCACTGAGCCCATAATCACCCACCACATTTGGGGGAACAGGGCCGTGGCAGCAGTTCAGGAATCTAATTTCCTTCATGGCCTTTGGTGACTTTAAAATACATCCATGAATTGCTTTATGCTCTTCCTTTCCAGAGCTAGAGTTTAATTCTCTAGATTGTGGCCTGGACTTAGTAAGTGTCTCCTGATGAACAGAATGTGGTTTCTTTCCTTTCTCTTCCTTTACTCTGGAGGCAGCCAGCAGCCATGCTATGAGTACACTCAAGTAGCCCTGTGGAGATGTCCACATACTGAGAAACTCGGGCCTCCTGCTGACAACCGGCATGTGACAGTTCTGTGAGTAAGCCACCGGGATGCTCCCACCCAAGTCAAACCTCTAACGGACCTCAGCCCTGGCGATGTTGCTGTTTTTAATATCTTTAGCTATTATTTGGACACGCCACATCTTAGTTGTGACACACAGGATTTTTTATCTCCATTGCGGCATGTGGGATCTTGTTCCCTGACCAGGGATCGAACCCAGGCCTGCTGCAGTGGGAGCGCAAAGTCTTAGCCACTGGTCCACCAGGGAGGCCTCCTGTCTTGGCAATGTTTTGATTACAACATTCTGAGAGGTCTTGAGCCAGAACCACCCAGCCAAGCCATACCCAAATTCCTATCTCATGGCAACTTTTCGAGATCATAAGTGTTTGTCATTTTAAGCCATTGAGTTTTGAGGTAATCTGTTACACAGCAACAGATAACTAACATATGTCCCAAAGGTGAGATTGGAGAGAGAGAGATGGCAGAACTCTCACAAAATGATTTTCTGCACAAAGAGCTTCTGCATCATTTAAACCCTTTCCACTGAAAACATCACATCCTAATGGTTTGTTTGCTTCTCTGTCCCCCAGATAATGTGGGCCCTTGAGAACAGGGGCTTGATGAATTCATGCTTCATTTAGCTGAGTTCTAAGGATACAAGCTTAAAGATAGCAGTAATCTAAAATTCTCTATTTGTTATGGTGGTTTAGCCACTAAGTCATGCCTGTCTCTTTCGATCCCATGGAATGTAGCCCGCCAGGATCCTCTGTCCATGAGATTTCCCAGGCAAGAATACTGGAGTGGGTTGCCATTCCCTTCTCCAGGGGATCTTTCTGACCCAGGGATGGAACCCACATCTCCTTTATTGCAGGCAGTCTCCTGCATTGCAGGCAGATTCTAATATCTATTTTGGGCATCTTTCTGAGAGTAACATACACAGTCAATTCTGGGGGCCCCATACCTCCCATGTCCTGTTTCTCTTAGCTGCTTCCATGCCCCAGTTGGTTGTGGGAAATACTTAGTTGTCTCTGTATGCTACAGGATGTGGGAAATCCTGCCATCTGATCTCAGGTCCTCCTGGACAAGGTTTGTACCTTCTGGGCTCTTCCCTGGAAAGAAGGCCCCCCCATCCAGGCTTTTGCCTGCCATGAGTCACCCCATAAACCAGCAGCTCAATGATTTTCTCCCAAGGAGAAAAGAATGCATTTTCTTGAACTCTTAATTATAAAAGTGTCAGCAAAGGACCGTTTCAGATGTTAGCGATAAACTCTAACTTCCTGGGAGTGTTTCCTAGTTGGAATAGAGGTAAAGAACCCATCTACCAAGGCAGGAGAAGTAAGAGACGTGGGTTCGATCCCTGTGTTGGGAAGATCCCCTAGAGGAGGGCACAGCAACACACTCCAGTAATTTTTGCCTGGAGAATCCCGTGGACAGAGGAGCCTGGTGGGCTAGGGTCCAGGGGTCTCTAAGAGTCAGACACAGCTGAAGTGACTGAGCATAGCATACAAACTTCCTGGGAAAGGAGATCAATGCGTTCAGTTTCTCTGCAGCCCAAGGATCTGTGTCAGTAACTATGGCTCCCGGGATGGTACATATTTTCAGAAGGAACAGTATTATGATTGATTAGTAGTGCTGTCTGCCTGAGAGAGGAGAGGGTAAATATAGCTCTGCTCTATTTACCAACTCTGACCTATACTTTTGATGCTACACTGTTACTTCTCCAAGATGTTAGAGAAGCAGGCCCTTCACTGGCAAAAAGCCTCCCACCCTTCTAGGAGGCCCAGCTGCTGATGCTGTCCCACAGCTAGCTGACCTAGAAGGGCTCTCCTGGATGTGGCTGCCATAGCTGTATCCTTTCTGTAGCTAGACTGGGAAGCTAAAACGACAGCAATGGGGTTAGAGTAACTTTATCCCAGACACTTGTGCTGGAGGCCAATCAGCACAGATGTCTGCACTGGCCTTCACTGCTCACTGAAGACCCAGGCAGCAAGCCCAGATGTGCTTTCATTACTTAGCATCCTGATGGAGGAGAGAATAAACATCACGGGTTCCACGATCTCATCTATTCCTCTGATGAAAGAAAACAGGCAGCATGGCCTTGGGAATTGTAAGTTGCAAAGGGAAAAAGAGCAGTTCCAATTGGTATCCACCAATAGTTTGGCCAGCTGATGCGAAGAGCCAACTCTTTAGAAAAGACCCTGGTGCTGGGAAAGATTGAAGGCAGGAGGAGAAGGGGAGGACGGAGGCTGAGCTGGTTGGATGGCATTCACCAACTTGATGGACATGAGTTTTAGCAAGTTCTGGGAGTTGGTGAAGGACAGGGAGGCCTGGAGTGCTGCAGTCCATGGATAGCAAATAGTTGGACACGACTTAGCGACGAAACCACCACAACCCGTATCCACTTTCCTTCCTGTGCTGTCCGTCGAGGGTTTATTGACCTCTTGCTTCTGCTAACTGCTTACAATAAAAAATGAAGTCAGGAAAAATAAAATGAAGCCTGAATTTCTGGGTTTAAAATAAGAATACCGCAGAACACTTTCCTCCGCCCTGAAAGGGAATGGAGGATCTCTACTTGTGCCAGGTGGAAGCAAAGACTGAACAGAGAGATGTCCTTTTACCTGCAGGACTCCTGGGGGCCCCTGGGGAAGGGGCCACTTGGGAACAGCAGCTAAGAGAAAGATGCTGAGGGCCAGGCTCTGATGATCTCCAGTTCTCACTCACTGCAGACCAAAGCAGCCTCACTGTATCCAGACCATATACATATTGAATAAGGCTTCTTGGAAGATCTGAGATCCTTAAAGGAGTTAGACAGGGGAAGAGGAGTTCAATGCAGAAGACTGTATCAGCTAAGAGCTGATACAAAAGTCAGTAATAAAAGAGTGAGCATGGATTCTATTAGGCAGGGCTTCTATCCTGGACTTAGAATTTGCGCATGCATTCCTTCCGAGGTATAGTTGTGTAGGAATTTGACTGCTGGGTCAGAATAATCAGGAGGAAGAAAGCCTTGATCTCTCTGGTTTCCTAGTCTCTTCCTTTACCTGGTGTCTCAGTGGGTAAAGAATCCACCTGCAATGCAGGAGACACAGGAGACTCGTTCAATCCCTGGGTTGGGACGATCCCCTGGAGGAGGGAATGGCAACCCACTCCAATATTCTTGCCCAGAGAAGCCCATGGACAGAGCAGCCTGGTGGGCTACAGTCTATAGGGTTGCAAAATGGTTGGACACGACTGAGCGACTGAACACACACCAGCATGTTAACTCAAGGCTCCTTCTGTACTGCGGGAAAGCGTTCCACTCCACCCCGGGACACATGCACCCAGGGGCCTCTCACAGATAGGTCATTCTCTGAGGGACCCTAATCAGTTGAAGAGTCCTTTTTTTGCTAGGAAGCCTTTCAAACACCCCAAATCTGGGCCTGGCCCTGCTCTCTGCACCTCTGCAAGCCCCACTGCTCATTTCCATCTGAGCACACGTGACCCTGGCTGGTATATGCGTCCATCTCTCCCACTGGACCACAGTGATCGGGCAGGCGGTGCTTCTCTCATCCTTATGTCTCTTGGCAAAGTGCTGAATATGCAGAGCTCCCTTATGCTCAGTCACTCAGTTGTGTCTGACTCTTTGCGATCCCATGGACTGTAGCCCACCAGACTCTTCTGTCCATGGGGTTATCCTGGCAAGAATACTGGAGGGGGTTGCCATTTGCTTCTCCAGGGGACCTTACCTGGAGAAGATCCAGGGAATATCTTTGACGCAGGGATCGAACCTGAGCCTACTGCATCTCCTGCATTGGCAGGCAGATTCCTTACCACTGAGGTAAAGAGGGAAGCCCTCGACATGAAGTAGACGCCCCCCCAAACAAATAGAGTGAATACATGAGGAAGTGTATGGGGGAGCCTCAGAGTGGGCTGTACTGAACAGCTGCTCCTAGGGCAGCCTCCAATGAGACGGTGCCTCTGAGCTCTTGCTATGACTTCTCCTGGCTGATTGAGGGCACTCCCCAGGAGATTAGCTAGGGGCCCGTCTCTTGCAAAGGCTGTGCTGTGCTGTGCTTAGTCGCTCAGTCGTGTCCGACTCTTTGCGACCCCATGGACTGTAGCCTGCCAGGCTCCTCTGTCCATGGGGATTCTCCGGGCAAGAATACCAAAGTGAGTTGCCATGCCCTCCTCCAGGGGATCTTCCCAACCCAGAGAGTGACACCACATCTCCTGCCTTGCAGGCAGATTCTTTACCGTCTGAGATACCAGGGAGGCCCTGCAAAGGCTGAGTCCAGGTTTTTTCATCTGACCCCTTTCCTTTCCTCATGGTACCTGCCAACCCCCCAGTTGTCTGCCCTGAAGCACAGCACAGCCAGGAGGCCGATTTAGCAGCCAGGAAACTCTCCTTTGTTTTTCAGACTGTGGTGAATCTGGACAGACATTGGATGGGACGGACAGCGGCTGGGACCTGCGCTGTGTGGTTTAGGGTTAAAGTATTTCCTGAGTCTCCTCCCAGGCTCTCCCACCTCTCTCACAGTCTCTGGCTGCCCCGAGTCTGCACTCGCAGAACTTTCTGTCTTTCTTAATATTTTCCTTTAGTTACTCTTCTTGCCAGAGGCTGAGCTATCACTCATTCCTTTTCTCCTTGTGGGTTCCTGGAAGTGTGGGGACTTCCAGGTTAGGTCAGGGTGCCTAGGTTTCCAGTTGAAATTGCTCTACTTACAATCCCCTGAGAGATTCTGTAGCCTTGTCCTGAATTCCTGGTGTTCATACCCCGACCTTCCCAGTTCTCTGCTCTCTGTCCTCAGGTCTCTTCAGAAAGCACAACCCACCGAGCGCAGAGGCTCAGGCCTCACGCCCCATGAGGATTTATGACCGCCAGGCTCCCCCTCCACGAGCCCTGCCCTGCAGACGCTTCCTGATGGTCCATCCTCAGGCCTCATAAGTCTCTGCCGCTCACAGGGCCTCCCACTGACCCCATGTCTTGACTCACATTGCTCTCCAGGTGTTTGCCCAGCCTGGGCCCCGCCTCAGTCACTCTGAGTTGGAGGAAGAACCTCAGAGCCTCACATTGGCACTCTCCCCTCTCCACACTCACTCTTTGTGGGAGAAGGTGCCACAGGCCTTGAGGACGTGAGGAGGAATTTACCAGGAGGACAAAGGGAAAGTGTCATTCCAGGAAGAGGAAACAGCGAGTACAAAGGCCTCAAGGAAGAAAATCAATGATCGAGGGACAGTCAGAAACCTGCTGTGACCTGAGGAGACAGGGCCGGGCACAGCGGGGCGGAGTATAGGGGAGGGCCGGGAAGGCCTTGATGAGAATTTTATGGGAAATCATCAAAACACCTGTGGGCAAGAGTGTTCCTGATTAGCTCTGTGTTTATGTTCTTTGTTTCTCCTATCACAGACAAAGCACTAGTGTCCTTGAGAAGTAAAGAGTTTGAAATTGATAATACAGTTGATGAGAAAAATTAATAAGTAATTGACTTTTAAAAATAACCGGTAATTCCAGAGAAGAATGAGCAAAAGATACTCTTAGACAGTTCATAGAAAAGCAAACACAAATGTCTCTTAAACACATAAAAGGTATTTGAGCTCACTCATAATAAGAGAAATGCAAATTAGTTCTTACTGAGATTCCATTTTCACCTATTGTATTGGCAGAAATCCCAGAATTTGATAATTCATTCTGTTGGCACCCAGGATCCTTGCTGGTTTAAGTGTAAATTTGCAAAATTCCATGGAGGGCAATTTGGCTATATCCACCTAAATTATAAATGCTTATACCCTTCAACCTCTGATTCTGGGATTTTACTGTAGAAATGTACTACATACATGTGAAATAATGTATATTCAGGGTAACTAACTACAGCATTGTTGAAATGGTACATATGGGAAGCAGCTAAGTGTCCATCAATAGGGTACCATTAAATTGATGATGTCTTGTGAGGGAACCATTGACAAAATTGTACTCCTTGGTCAGGCATGATAATAACCACTTATCTGAGTTGTCTCACAGCAGGAGGGCCCGATGATGAATGCAGTGCTGCCACCAAAAACTAATCTGGAGAACTTGGAGCGGCCAAAAGGAGGAAGGAGCAGACCATACATCCTGCCAACTTCCCAGAAACCCTCACGCTGGAATCCATCTTGGTTAAGCGATGCGAGCGCCACCAGGAAGGACCCTGAGTCAGAATGATTGGCCAGAGACAACCCAGAAACTAACCCCATCACCATAAAACCCAAGACTGCAAGTCAAACGTCTGAGCAGTTTTCCTGGGTTCCTTTATCCTGCTGCTTCCCACCTGGCCACTCCTTGCCAATAGAGTCTTTTGCTTTTTCAGCACACATATCTCCTTGGACAATTCATTTCTGAGTGTTTGATAAAAGCCCATTCTTGGGGCCCTGGAAGGGGGTTTCCCCTTCCTGCAACCATTGAACCATGCAACTGTGAAAAAGAATGACCTGTGCTCTCTACCCCAACAGAGAAGAATTCCAAGACATCCAAGACAGTTATTAAATGGTTAAGCAAAAGATAGACCCGTGAATAGGCTTTTCCCAAGTGGTACTGGTGGTAAAGAACACACCTGCCACTGCAGGAGATGCAAGAGACCCAGGTTCAATCCTGGGTTGGGAAGATTCCCTGGAGAAGGGTGTGGCAATCCACTCCAGTATTCTTGCCTGGAGAATCCCGTGGACAGAAGAGCCCGGCAGGCCTAGTCCACAGGGTCGCACAGAGTCGGACATGACTGAAGCGAGCAGGCGAGACCAGTGTATATAGTTGTTACATTTTGTGTGAAATGGTGATGAGGGAGAGGGAGAAATTAAAACATAATTTGTATTTTCCTGTCAAAACAGAAAGGAGCTTGGGATGGATTCCAAATGGCTGTCCAGGTGGAGGTAGGAGAGGTATGAGGACCAGGCAGGCAGGGGGTGGGGGTGGGGAGAGACTTCTCACCCTGAACCTTTTCATACTTTTGCTGAATTTTGAATCATGAGAATACATACCCTACTCAAAACATAATAATAATAAAAAAATAGAATTCCTGTTTCCATAATCTTTCATAATAGTTATTCTGTAGTGTGGCTGCCCAGAGAAACCTAGCACCTGGACTTGTGACTCACAAACCATCTCTAGTGATCCCCAAGTGTGAAAAGACATTCTCCCCAAACAAATTCAAAAGTGTCTTTGGAGGACGGCTGCACCATATCACCCAACTGTAACTCATTACAACTCCCTCAGGGTTGAAAAATAACCTCCTCGTCTTCCTGAGAGCTCTGATTCAGCTTCCTGCATTTTTCCATGTGCTTCTTTCCTGCTCAAGTCATCCTTTTCAGGTGGTATTTCGAGTGACTAAAGCCAGGGTCTGCCCTTTACTCTGGTGTCTTTCTTCCTCAGACGTCCCCTCCCTGAAAAGTTCTGTGGGAACCAGTCACTCTTGGTGCCTTGTGATCGCTTTCTCAGACTCTGCATATCAAATGCGGTTGCCCAATTTGAACACCTTGTAAAAACATTTAAAATCACTCAGTGAAAATCCTTCAAACAAGGAGCAGCTGTGCTGGAGAAAAAGCCAGCTGGTTGCTCACCACTTTCTCAGCAGTGTGGAGGGAAGTTGGGTGTTCAGGAATTCCAGGAGGTATATGGCAAACTTAGCTTACCCGCGCCCTTTGGTTAGGATAAAATGGCGTGAGAAATGGCCGTCTCCCCCGCCAGCTCATTCACAAAGCTGCCCTCTTTAAAAGGCACAGTCAGGAGTTCTCCTAGGAGAATTCTGGGTCTGGGCTGTCTTTCCTTGGTTTTCTCGCTCTGTGGCTATGACACCTGTTACTCAAGTCTAAGCTAACTTACCACCCACACATCTGCAAGCAGGTGCTGAATGAAAGATTTATAAGCTCACCCAGTTGACTCCCTCCCCCCCTCTTCTGCCCTAAAGCTGACCTGTTTAAGAGTTCTCTTCACTTGTCTGAGGCTTGTTTTATTCCCGGGATGAGAAAGGTACATAGCTATGATTACCCCTATGTGTGCCAATCAAAGTCCTGGAGCACAGACACCACCTGGTCTTTCTCTGGTTCTCCTGAAACAAAGCCAACCCTCCATAAATATTTGCTGAATAAACAGATGAATGAGTGGTTAACTGAGTCTAACACTTGCCGTGTGTTCAGATCAGGTCTTATCCAACAGGAATTTCCGTGGTGGTGGAGCTGCTCTGTAGCTTGCTGTCTATTACTGCAGCCACTAGCCACATATAAGCACTTGAAATACAGCTGGTGTGACCGGGGAACTGCATTTTAGATTTCAATGACTTTGATTGAAATGGGGTCAGTAAAGAGTCTGCCTGCAATGCAGGAGACCTGGGTTCAATCCCTGAGCCAGGAAGATCTCCTGGAGAGGGAAATGGCAACCCATTCCAATATTCTTGCCTGGAAAATCCCATGGACAGAGGAGCCTGGCGGGCTACAGTCCATGGGGTCACAAGGAGGTGGAAACGACCGAGCAACTAAACCTACTTACCTACCTAGAGAGTCACATGTGGCTAGTGGCTGCCATATTGAATGGTACAGATTTAGATTGTCGGTTGTGTAATCTGATCATTTATGTTGAAAAACAAACTGTGTGGCCTTCTTAGTTTAACTCTTCTCATTGAACATGGCTCAGAAACTTTCAACAAGTTTTAGAAGCAGTGAAAAGCGTATTAGTACTTCTCGTGGCACTTGCCATCATCACCACAGGCAAACAGAATCCAGAAAGAGAAAGAGTGAATAGAAATCGGTTCTGCCTGCTTCTTTTTGGAAAGGTCTTGGGTCCCCCCCCCCAAACCCCAGGAGTGTAAATGGTCAGCCTCTTGCTTTATGACTCACCCAAGAGCCACCCTTTTGATTGCTCTGAGCCGGCTAGGCACAGTCAGGGCTGAGTCCAAGGGAAGAGTGCCACGTGGTGAGTCATCCTAACCATTTCTCAGAACAGGTGTTCTTCAGGGAGCCTCCTCCAAGGGGCCCCACCCAACCTGCCTTTACCTGCAGGGGTGAGTAGAGCCCAGAGACAGGCATGGGCTTCATTTCTGTTCAGGGTGGAGTTATCGGGGACCTGTGCTCAGAGACCTCACAAGGATTTGGATCCAGGGGTGGGGTTTGTGCTCTGGCCACTGGAACGGAGGCTGAAATCTTCTGCTTCCGGGCACGAGTGCTGAGTTGCTGAGTCGTATCTCTTTGCAACCCTATGGACTGTAGCCCGCCAGGTTCCTCTGTCCATAGGATTCTCCGGGCAAGAATACTGGAGTGGGTTTCCATGCCCTCCTCCAGGGGATCTTCCCCACCAGGGATTGAACCCGCATCACCTGCAGCTCCTGCACTGCAGGTAGACTCTTTACTGTTGAGCCACCAGGGAAGCCTCCGCCCTGTTTGGTACCAGTAGCACATTCAGCAAATTTCGTGTCAAGCTGGGACCCTTTCTGCAGCACTTGATCCATCTGGTTCCACCCACTGTCACCCTGGCAGAAAGCAGAGCACATTCTCACATTCTCTGGGAGCCCGGGGCACTTTGGTCACAGCAGAGGGGATGGCTGAGAGGTGGGCACTTGTGTGTGTCTTTGTGTGCATGCACATGGCCCCCTAGGTGCCACTGTGTTCAAATGGATGCAACAGGCAGTCTCTACACCCAAGATGAGCAGAGGTCACTTCCCCCGCTGAACAAATGTAGTTCCTTTGCTTTCTGGATTAGGCAATGTCCACAGCTGTCAGGTCCCGAAGCCAGAGCTCCCAGAGCATCTCCCGTGTCCATCCCTCAGGGATACAGGCAAAAGGTCCGTGCCACCTAGAGCTCCTCCGTTTCACACCAGTCAGCTTGCCACAGCCTTTTTGGAAGACAAGAAGACCATAGCACTGGGTCCCTGACACAGCAGAACTCCCGAGCTGCCTGAGGCCCAGGGCAGTGTCTGGGCGCTGACTTCGGTGGCTAGTGAGCCATCTTCTTGAGCCTAGAATTGTTTCAACACATCCAACACGCCCTACAGGCCCAGCGGGAAGGGTGGAGAAGCCCTTAATGTACTTGACACATCAGAGAAGCTCCGGTTACCAAGAGCACAAACAATGCCTCATTCAGGGACTTAGGTGAGTGTCAGGGTAACTTGTCACTCCACACGCATGCACCTCACCCTTCCCTCCCTCTTCTGCTTCTCCTCCCAACCCCATCTTCCAAATCCTTGGGGCAGTTTGAACACTTGGTGTCCAGAAACCCAAGCATTGCAAGAATAATGTGCTGACAGCATGACAGTCACCTTGTCATTTGACCCTTCGCTTCCTGAAATCCCATCCAGCTGTGGCTAAACATCGTACAGTTTCCATCACTGCCCTACTTTTTCAGAGTTCCTCATCCCTGAAGACGGTGTGGCTCTTTTTGGGTCAAGCGTGACTATAAGGCTGGTGTGAGTGGATCACCCTGGCCATTCTGGGAGACTCCTTTTAAGTTCCCTGGAGAAGGAGTCTGTCCCAGCCTACTGAGCATGGCTCTGTGCATTTCTTGGGATGCTGGAGGTTACTACCTACAGAAGTTATTCCCTATATAAAAAATAGCTATTTAAGGGTAAGGCTATTTCTGTGTAGTGTAGTCATAGAATTTAAAATTTTGAAAGTTGGAAGAGAACCTAAAAATCACAGCTTCATCTTTAGGGTGAAGGAAACAGTACCAGAGAGGTTAAGTAATTTGGGCAAAGTCATTCAGCTTACAGACACAGATACGACAACCTTGTGGAGACTATTGTCAAGACTTGACACTAAGTCAATGAATTAAGGTTGACTTTAAATGAAATTGGGAGCTCACTATGGAGTCTGTGTGTGAGTGTGTGCTAAGTTACTTGAGTCATGTCTGACTCTTTGCAGTCCCATAAACTGTATCTTGCCAGGGTCCTCTGTCCATGGGATTCTCCAGGCCAGAATACTGGAATGGGTTGCCTTTCCCTTCTCCAGGGGATCTTCCCAACCCAGGGATCAAACCCATGTCTCTTATGTCTCCTGCATCGGCAGGCGGGTTCTTTACCAGTAGCACCACCTGGGAAGCCCTAACTATGGAGTCTATGGAGTTGCAAAGACTTGAAAATGACTTAGCAACTTAACAACAACAACCTCACTTAGAAGAAGGGATGTGAATTTCAAATTATTTTAAATAATTTCCCCCCATTCCCCCCAGTATCAGATACTCTAAATTTTATGCTATATTAATCACGATGATAATGTGTCTTCTCTCTTACTGTAAAATGTTTGCTTCCCCCCAACCCCCCCCCCCTTAAATTGTACCTACTGGATTTATATAATTTGGGATTCACCTGTTTGACTGAATCTGCTCATAGGGGAAGATCTAAGTGAAAGTGCCTGCTGCTAAAAGAGCAAGGAAGGCTGGCCTGGAGCCATCGTTACATCTCCAGGGCTCTGGATGGTGCCATTTGTCAAAAGATGCTGAGAACTCTTGGGAGGATGATCTCCAAGGTTGAACTGGGGTCAAGGCTTGCTCTTCCCTTTCTTCCTGATAATGTGCCTGTCAACTCTCAGGAGATGTGGACGGCTATGGTACTGGGATGAGAGTGGGAGGCTG